ACTCACCACAACCTCATGTTTGTCAGAGTAGAACTGGGCCCATCTCTCAGAAGTGGACCTGAGGTGCTGCTTGGTGGACTGGAACCTTCAACCTTTTGGTTCGCAGCTGAGCTAACTGTTCGCACCACCCTGGACCTCTGTAGCCCACTGTACAGTTGCGGTTTAGGGGCAACGCTGCAAATGTATGCAGACCTCTGTCTTCCAGGGACCAGAAGAGCTTACCTCCCTTGGACGTGCCCCCAAACCTGCTGGCTGTCACTTTACCTCTTCTTCTCACCCACGCCTGCCATGACGGTGTCTCTGCTTTCTTTTGCTTCTCGCCCAGGCTGCTGTTGCCCTGTTTCTGTCATTGTCATGCCACCCTCTCGTCCCCTGTCATCTTTCCATTTAGTGATCTCTGCCTGCTCCTGCTTCTCCCCTGGGGACTTGCCTTTGCTAAACTGCCATGATGTGGAATTAAACCCCATTTGAGATATTTGTTGAATTTCAGTTTGCTGCTTATATTGATTAAATCCCACATGATAGTTAAAATTCAGACGAGTGGAAACTGTTTACATGTCGTAAAGTTCTATCTTATACATGTTTGTCCAATATCAGTATGTTTTCCCTTTGGTTGCGTCTCAGTTGATAATAACGTTTTCAAGGTGGGAGTGTCTTATTCCTTATTCTATTTGAGACAATGAAAATACTAATAATGTACTAAGAAAGTCTTTTAAATAAAAAAATCACATAAGGTATTATTGGACTTTTAAAAACTACCCGTGATCATGTGTTAGGCTGGGTTTTAGAGACAAATCCAGGGACACTCATATATGTGTAAGAGAGCTTTATATTAAGAAGTACTTATACATCAGGAAAACATCCCAACCTAGTCCAGATCAAGTCCATAAGTGCTACACTAGTTCATAAATCCCTTTTCAGACTCACAGATACAAGTAATGATGCAGAGTGCAGGAAGACCACAGGTACTGGATGAAAGCCGTGTGGGTCTAATGGCAGTGGAAGCATCTCCAGGGCTAGTGCAGGTGTCATACGAAAGTGAAGGAGAGAGAGAGAGGGAGAGAGAGAGAGGGAGAGGGAGAGGGAGAGAGAGAGAGAGAGAGAGAGAGAGAGAGAAACGTTCCTAGTGTCCTTCTTATGAGAAGGCCACACCCACAAGGAGACACCCTCAGGCTGTGATTGACAGGCAAGACTCCACCCATATCTTTTGTTTTTTAAATCACTTTATTGGGGCTCATAAAATTCATCACAATACATAGATCAATTGTGTAGAGCACATCTATACATTTGTTACCCTCATCATTCCCAAAATTCGCTTGCCTCTTGGGTTCCTGGAATCAGCTCATTTTCCTCCACCCCCCTCCCCCTCCCTTCCTCTGACCCGCTCCCACCCATATCTTCTTACGGGTGCCTTGTTGGTCCAGAAAATCTAACTGTCCACACCATCGGCCCTGACACTCGATGTATTTCGCAGATTTAAATGTGATAAACTCATTGCCATCTTGAGCTGATTCCGACTTCCAGTGATCCCAGATGGCGTTTCTGAGATTGTAAATTTTACATGAGCAGCAGCCTCATCTTTCTTCTGTGGGATAACTGGATGCTTTGAATTGCATCCCTGCTGTTAGCACCTGACCAGCAGAGCTACCAGGGCTCCTAAATGTTATGTGCACCGAGCAAAAAAAAAAAAAAAAGGTATACATTTAGGTATAATGGTAATGACTCAACTTAAGGGACAAGATCCCCAAATTGCTCCCCAAGTCCACGATTCCCCGGAATGGAAAATTATGGAAATAAATTTATTTTAAGAGGTACACAAAACCCTGAAACCTGGCTCTGTATTTACCAATAAAACGGACACAAAACACAGCGGCAAGGAGCAGAGAGGGGCCCGAGCCAAGCTTCTTGATCCGTATTGTGTTCTGGCTTTCCGGAGGGATTGCAAGCTGCCTTCTTGGTTAGCAGACCCGGTGCCTAATCTGTGCACCAGGCCTTTTCATTGAAATCAGTTCATTTGCTCCTTCAAAATGAAGAGGAGACTCGTTTCAGAAGTGAGGTGGGAGAAACGTGTGCTGACAGTGGACACAATGAGCTGCTCCCTGAGCACCTTACCGACGAGTCTCCAGGGCCGGCTGGGCACCTCCACCTGGATGCCCAAAGTGCCTCTTGACGCAGCGGACCCGGAGCTGAACTCACCGTTTCCACCTCCGATGAAAGGCTTGGTGATCCAATTCTGGAAAATCTGTCATCTAATACCACAGGAAGTGCTTATCACTCACTTCCCTAACTAGGCAAATGGTATCACCAGAAATAGGACAACAATAAGCATTTATTGATGGATTGTATGCTCTCTTCCCCAGGCGATGTCCTAAACATTGAACACGTTTTATCCTTTTAATCCTTTTCCCGGCAGTTTGAGGTAGATACTGGTATTCCCACTTAAAATATGGTGTGGCATGCACCAGAGAGTCATTAAACGTTGAATGAATGAATGAATGAATGAATGAATGAATTCCTGTTTTAGAGTTGAGGAATTGAAGGTGAGAGGGATTGGGTATTCCAGGTCTTTTCAGTAGGAAGTGGCAAAACTTGAATCTAGGACACCCTACCCCTATCATCTATATTCTTGGGCACTCACATAAGTTACCAATATAGTCCATCTGTCGGCATCTGCAGGGTGCTGCCCTGAAACCCAGCCCTGCCTTCATGATGACAATTTTCCTGCTTCCTCTGTGTCCTTGCCATCTCTAGAGAGCGGTGATGCCTTCGAATAGGGGTGGGGTTGCTAACATCAGGGTCCAGCTGCTCTTCCGGAGACTGACGAGGCTCGCTTCTCCTGCAGACTGACAGCTTCCGTAGGCGTGGGAATCGGCTCACTGGCAATGTGTTTTAGATTGTATTGTTAACTACAACTCTGTGTGTATAATGGACTGAATTCAGAAGCAAGAGGGCTAGGGAACTTGCCTGTACAGTGCCATAGAACTCCTGGCCCCCAGCTCTCTTCTTCTGGGCTGTAGAGCATTATAGGATGGGCCCTGGCAAGCTGCCCAGTCCTTTGGAAGAAAAAGTTTAGTATCACCATACATGGCCTTTTCCAGGTCCAGGCTGGGAGAGAGCAGGGCTCAGGCACTTTCCCCCGGACAGCAGCAATGTTGGCTGTTGGCCTCTTCTGAGCACGAAGCTTAGTCATTCTGCCGACACACGTACATTCGTGCCAGATGAAGGTGATTGGTAGTATAAGTGGGATTTGGGGTAGTAACTGTTACTCCTGTTATTTCTTAGGGCACCTGCCAAGCTAGTGTTTTCTGCATAAATTATTGATAGCACAAGTACTGCTGTCACTCACACCAGCATGCCACACCTTGCCTGTGGTCTGAAGATACTGACATTCAGCTGTTTCCAAGTCTTCCCCAGCCCTTGTGTCCATCTCTGCCCGGGTCTCAGCTACTGGCCGAAGTGCTGCCAGAGAACTTCAAAGGCACAGTCAGAAGAATATCTGCCCCCACAGTCTACAAACCAACAGGGGAAAAGCCCATTGAAAAGACGTAGGAACCTAATCTGACCTGTGATGTTATACAAAGCAAATTGCACGGCAAGCTCCACAGGACAGAGCCACATTCTAAGCCTGATTAAGATTCATAGTGTATGTAGCAAATGGTGATGACTGTTTATTTTGGAAAAGTGGATTTTCAGCTGCTTCTGAGGCTGCTTATTCACCGAGGTACTGTTTGTTTTCTTCCTCCTCGGGGGAAATGGAGTTATACTTTCCACACGTTTGCTGGGTAAAACTGAGGCGGAATTTGTTTGGGCTGCTTCTTGAGTAACACGTTACAGAGCCCCGAGATGGGAGCCCCTTTCTCTCTGCCATGTCCATCCCTCGCCCTCACCCACCTCCACAGTGCCAGGTTGCTTGCCTTCAGCACTGACCTGAGGCGGGAGTTATGGGCTCCTTTGAAGAGTGACATTACCAGTGAGATTTCCTCTACCAAGTGGGTTAGCAGGGGAAATCGTTTGGAGCCAGTGTTGTCTTGTTAGCTTGTTTCTTTGGTTTGGTCTACAATCAAATCCCAGGTAAACTTTTGGTAAAGAAGATGGGTTAATTTTTAATGTGGTTTGGAGTGAGAACCCATCAGGGGCCAACTGGTCATGAAGCCATCGAGGGGGCTCTGGTTTGGGTTCCTGCTTGCGAGGAAGCAGCCATCTCCAGGTCTGGGCCACGGCTTCCTCCCTGCTATCTGGCCTGGCCTGACCCAGGCTGGACAAGAAACCTGATGTTGAAGCCTCATTCGATCCATGGACATGCTATTGGCAATTTAGCTTTTAAAACCAACAGTGACTGCTGCTTGGCATTTTGGAATGTACTTCAACACAGTATGTGAGCCCTTGTGCCTGTCCCCATGTTTTGCAGAGAGAGCTTCTGGTGGCATTGATTTGTACATACCAATGCCTTCTGCATTAGACCGAGCCCCATTTTCAAATGAATTGGTGCTTTTCCTTCTGATCAGCAGTCTGTGTTCATAAGCACAGACCGAAGCCCTGTCTCTCTGGGGCCTTCTCTCCTGGGTCTCTTCCTCCGCCCGCCCTCCTCTCCCTCTTCCTTTGCAGCCCAGTACTCCTTCGCTTCCTCATCATCGCTTTTATTTTCCTTCTCCAGCTCCATTTTATTCTTTTTATTCACTGTACCTTTCTGGTAACATACCCTCTAACATATGCAAATAATAGGAAATGAAGAGAAATTCTGTAGAATTTGGGCTGCTCTGAGTCTGGAGCTCAGGCTGAACTCATTTGTGTTTCCATTCCCCTCCTACCCCCTCGGTAGCTGTGTTACAGTTCCTATCTAGGTTCCATGAGAACGAATATGACAGTGTTCTGAAAGTGTTTATAGCCCCAGGAGGAAGACATGACAAAGAGGTATAATGAATGTTTATGATCTTTATTTAGGAACAAGACAGTCAAAAATGCTCTGTCACCTCTAAGTCTCAATTTGTTCCATTTCCCAGACCCTGCACCAGTCCAGAAAGACTGGCAGAATGAAGCCGGTGATGGACCGGAAGACCACCAGTCTGTCACCCCCAGCAGGCTGCTTTACCACATAACTGATGGGGACAATCCGCTGCTGTCACCGCGATGCTCCATCTTCAGCCAAAGCCAGAGATTCAACCTAGACCCCGAGTCTGCCCCTTCCCCACCCAGCACGCAGCTGTTTATGATGTAAGAAAACCTCATTGCCATTACCCTCGTTTCAGATGGATTTTTCCAATATTGCATTTACAGGCTAGCGTGGAGGGCCTGGATTGGAAAGAGTGGAACCAGAGCTACCAAGGCAACTCCAAGTCCTGACTATCAAAAGCAGTGATTTCAAATGAGAAACGTAACTACCTTAGGCCTACAGGTCCTCGGAGGGAATGGCCATGAGGCATGCGCTCACGTTTGAATGCTTTTGGTCAAGTGACCGGCGTTCTAGGAAAGTGTGCTCATGTAAGCATCACAGGCTTTGTTCTGAGGGACTCCGTGTTCTTTCCATCGCTAACAGTGACGCATTGGAGAGATGCTGAGAAAGCCTGGCACGATGCGCCGAGCTCCAGCCCTTAAGATCTGGAAAAGTAAAAAAAAAAAAAAAAAAAAAAAAGATCTAGAAAAGTGCTTGGTTACCTTGGCTGCCTAAAACCAATCTCCTTGGAATTCGCATTTGGGACGAGAGTGGAGAAGGAGCTCCGTACTTGTAGATTCTTCTTCCCTCTTTTTAAAAAAAGTTACACAACTCTTTTTGATACATAGCTAAAGCTGAAAATTCCCTTGGCTAAAAATATACCCAAGGCAGATCTCCAGTGTCTCTGCATAATTCAGGTTGTTTTTCGTGAATTTATCCAAACCTGAGGCCGTGGTCTGGGCCAATAATTGAATTGTTCTAGGTGCAGTTGTGGGCATGTGGGAGGGATGTGTACACCTTTCTCTGCAGGGACCGACATCCCCTTCGCCAGGTGCTCACAGGCTCCGTGCGGTCAAGGACAGCTGAGCTCTCCTCTGTATCTTCCTTGAGAATGTTGGTTGATGGGGCTCATGCAACCAACGTATTTGAGGATGCTGCCTCAGTAGAGCTGGCTCTTCTTGGCCGTAAATTGGGCTCTTCCGGGCTTTAGGAAATGTGTTTCCTGGACTAAAATGCTGACATTTATATATACTTCTACCCATAATGGAGTTCTGTGACCAGGGGACACCCTGAATGGGCAGATGCTAACAGAGCCATCACATAATGAGCAGTCTTCCGGACTCCTCTGCTGATCGCGGAAGCGTGGCGTCAGGCCTGAGGGGTGGGGTTGCTGATGCTCTTTCCTACCGTCGCCTCCACAGGCCCCGAAGTTCTTCACGAGGCACTTGTGGGGATGCCAAGGAGTCCCACGCCATCACCCAGCTCACCAAGCACATTCAAAGCCTCAAACGGAAAATCCGGAAATTTGAAGACAAATTTGAACAAGAGAAGAAGTACCGGGTAAGGACCCTGGGATTTCAGTAAGACACTATTGTGGTGCAGGTTTGTTTTTTGTTTGTTTGTTTTGTTTTGGCATTGCTGTGCTTCTTTCCATTGGGGGAAGTACAACATCTCTGTTCCCATGGATCAACCAAGAAGCCATTATAAATCGACTTCCTGCTCCTATCTTGTTCTCAGATGCTGTCAGTAGTTTATCGTATTTAACTATTAAGCATCCTCCCCTTCTGACCCCACCCCCTACTTGCTTTATTTTTTAAGGCACCAAATTATCACTGTTCTTGCTACCATCAAATTTTGAAAAAATGTGGTCTTATTTCCCTTTATCCTTTTCCCACGTACATATGATAATCGACTATCAATGACCCAAGGAGCAAATTCTCGGTTCCAGGAAAGAGAGTGAGTGTTCCTTTGGCAGGAAATACTTACTGGTTGAAGGACGAGGGCCTCTCAAGTGCCACCTGTTCAGGCCCCGAGAAGTCCCTCCTGTCAGAGCCCCCGGGCTTCATGCGGGTATTGCAGGGTTACACATTTGAGCCTTTCCTGTTTTTCCCATAAGAAACCACCAACCTAGGTAAGTGTCCTGAGAGCCAGTGCAGATTTTTATTCCGTCCCTCTTATGGTAGTCAGAATGCAGACAACAATCAGATCGTGTAGAATTACACAGACCGTGGATCTTTGGCCGAGGGCCCAGAACTGCTTTGTTATTGGAATGAAAATAGACTGGGAAATAACCTCTTGTACATCTTGAAATATGTAAAGGCTCACTACGCTCATAGGGAAGCAATCAGGTGGCCCCTGTGGGTGTGGAACAAGTGTGTGACCATAAGGTGAGATGGGCCGTGTCTACTCTGCTGTTCTCCTGGTCTGTGCTTCCCACGGAGATTGAATTATGGTCTTCCATCAAATTTGATCTCAAATGCACCAGAAGAGGGGTTTTGTAAGGACTGGTTTTCGGTATTGCAAAATGGGGAACAGAAATCAGATGGGCTTGATAGACGGTCTTGGTCACAACTTCCAGATTTATCGTCTACGACAGCCACTGCAGGGAGTAGCCCTGCTCCATCTTCTAGGGCTGTCGTGGGTCTGAATGGGCGTAAGGGCAGTCGGTTTGATAGGTTTGGGGTCAGATGGCAGGAGAGGAGCCCTGGTGGTGCTCTCCGGTAAGCGGTGAACTGCTCACCTCATGGCCAGCAGTCCAAACCCCGTTGCTCCATGGGCCAGCGTTGATGCTGTGTGCTCCTGTCAAAATGGACAGCGAAGGAGACCCCATAGACGGTTCTAAGAGTCTAAATTGCCTCAATGGGAGCGGATCGGGAATAGAGCAGGAGGGGGCTTTAGGTTAGGCCTTTATTTTCCAGATGAGGAAACCAAGGTCTAGAGAAGTAAATTGCTGACGGAAGCTTGTGTTCAGTCAGCACTGGCTTGGGGGTGTAGCTTAAAGCTGAGTAGCGTTTGCAGTGGAGAAGTCGAAATATGGAAGGGGCTAGATTTTGAGCGTCCAGATATCCTGAGAGAAACCGGTTTCTCCTCTTTGCTACTGGAGTCGAATTGGTTCTGTGGTATCTGCATGTTGAAAACTGTAGTGTATTAATGAGCCTGTGACAGATCCCAAGTCAGGCTGACCTGTAGGATCAGAATCTCAGCACAGCCTCTTATGAACGTACCTGACTTTGCTGAGTCTTGCTTCATCCATCTACAAGTGGAGTCGACAGTTATAGTGACTTCTTAAATAAAGTCGTGCATGTAAAATGTTTCATAGAAGTGAGCGATCCTAAGTAGTTCTTCGCTTTCAATCTAAGTGGAATTGGACCAGGCTACCCGTGATAGTCCCTGCTTTGTCAGAAATTGAAAAGTATCTAGGTTAATTCTCCAGTGAGTTTTTCTACCTACAACCACAGAACCCAATCTCACTCCTCTCTAACGGCCTCCTTACCCCCGACCTCACTGCTGTTCTGACTCATAGTGGCCCTATAAGGCCACTTTGTGGGATTCTGAGACTGTACCTGTTTCGGAGCAGAAAGCTGTATCTTTCTCTCCAGGAGTTTCTAGTGGTTTCAAACTGCTGACCTTGTGGTTAGCAGTGCCACGTGTAACCCATGGCTCCCAACGGGCACCTCAAACGCAAACCAAACTCACCGCCGTCAAGTCGATGCCAACTCACAGCGATCTGATAGGCAGGGTAGAACTGCCCATAGGGGTTTCTGAGATGGTAACTACAGGAGTAGAAAGCCCTATCTTTCTCCCAGGAGCAGCTGGTGGTTTTGAACTGCTGACCTTCATTGTGGTTAGTAGCCCAGTGCATAATCCGTAGCACCCGGGCTCCCCAAAGCCCCCTAGCGGCAGCCTATTTTGGAGGAGGATTTCTCCTGGCTCCTCCTCTGTTGGTCTAGAGAAGCAGTAGAACCCGAGCAGAGGCAGCACCCACTCCAAACCACTCACATGTGCAGTTGGATGGGTTTGGGATCAGAAGGGAAAGCAGGCTCCGGCTATCAAAAACCTGTGGTGTAATCAGAACCTTGATTGTCACAGGAAACAGGGCATCCCCTAGCCCTTCCTGACAGGGTGCCAGGCTGTGGTTAGAGAGCTTTGACATGTCAATTGGTTCTAATGGGTTGCTGTGTGTAAGACTTCCCTTCCTGGCAGCACGAATGTCGAATTAATAGCACCTATTGCTCGTTTTGGAAGCTGAACCCTCGCTGGTCCTGTGCCCTATGCTGATGCCCGTGTATAGCATCCATTTTTCCTGCCATGGTGACTGCAGCCTGTTCACACTCCTATCCAGAACCATGCTTATGGCCTCTGATTGGTTTTTCACTTTGACCAACATTGGTCTTGTGGCCCTAGAAATAAGGCTGCTTCAGCAGATGTCTACCTTTGGTGGAACTGGAGCTGATGCCAAGGGCTTAAGTAGAAAGAAAATGTTTTGAAAATGATAATGGCAACAAATATACAAATGTGCTTGACACGATGGATGGATTGTGATGAGCCGTGCAATCCTTCAATAAAATGATTAAAAAAAAGAATTGGAAGGGATCAGCTAGCCCTATTTCATATTTGATGATTAAGGAAATGGAGGACCAGAGAGGGGAAGGCCAAGAATTACACAGAAAAAGAAAAAATCATTCTAACCCGAACAGCAATTCCGGACTTTTTATCCCCGTTGAGGACATCTCTCTCATCTTTTGAGCCATTTTTAGCAGATCACAAAACTAGCCCAGGAGTACTCCCAATGATATGGCGCAGGAGTTCCATTTTCAATGCATTGCACAAAACCCAACCTCCTCTGTGGACAGTAACTGGGGACGACTTAACCAAAATGTCTGCTCAGAAGACAGAAGGCTTGAGATCCGCAACTTGTGTAGAAAATTTTTCAGATGATTTGAGGGCTGCCAGCCACACAAGCTTCTTTTAGCCTCTTTTAAAAGATCCTTCAAAAGGAGGGGATTTAAAGAATATATCATTTTCTGAAATTGAGCTCAGACTTTAAAATACCTTGTCAGAAAAATGTATAGTCTCAGGTTTCTCCTCAGCCCTACATGCAGGAGTAGATCAAGCTCCTTTGTCGTTGATGGTCAGTGGCTGGTGGGAGTTTTTCACCGTAGTTGAAAAGGTGGCATAGTGCACAGAGCAGAGCGCTGAAGCCCTCTTCAACAGGGCACGCTGCCCGATGGTGACAGGATCCTGTGAGGATTTTGAGAGACCAAATGTATAGCATTTGTCTTTATAACCAGACTGTCATCCAAATTCAAGGCATTTTGTCATTAGCCGAAGTCAGCCAGTTCATGACTAGCTTTCCCATCCTGCACTAACAGACCACAGGAGGGGCCAGACTAAACTGTGTGGGGTCGGGGGCGGGGCGGTGTGTGTGTGTGTGTGTGTGTGTGTGTGTGTGTGTGCGCGCGCGCGCGCAGAAGATGAGGTTGCAACGTGGTAGTGTCTCTGGTCCTGACCCTGGGGCTTCACAGTGGAAAGCAGAGTCTCCTAGCTAAACGATCTTAGGAGAGGGTTCTACTCGATCTCGTTGAACAGTGTGGGATGCTTACATCGCTGTAGACCTGACCAACTCATGCCTTGTGTCTCGTCACACACACCTCATACCAGCAACTCTGGAAGGCCCTGTCAGAGTCGCACGTGTCTGTGCATTTTCACCCCTTTGCACCGGAGAGTTCACCACCTCCCCATGCACTGCCCCTATGATGACCTACTGCTATCATGACATAGATTTGGTGGAGCCGTCAAGTCAGCGTGGCAGGGTCTGGAAAGCACATTACTAACACTGCCTGTCTTTCATCCCGTGCCGTTTCCGACCACGCCATGTCGACAGTCGCTGTGCATTGCTTATATGCCCTCGATTCTAGGCAACCATTCCTCTTCTGGGGCCTGCAGGTGAGCAGTCAGGCCGACCTTCATCGTCAAGAACGTTTCTCTCTGATCCATCGTGGGAGAGGAGCCGGGTTGGCTGCCCTTCTCACCGCGGCTCTCTGTTCTGCACAAAATCCACGTTCAGTCTCGAGGAGATACCTGGAGATCCCGGTGAATAATTTCTGTCAACAGAGCTATAACCTTCTAAAATAAAAATGTACTCTTATCACTACAGACAAGGAGTGATCAGCTAACTAATGCACAACATACAGCCTCATCCGTGTGCTTTCCCGGGAGGACATAACCTGTATTCCTTTGGAGGGCTAGTGGTCCTACCCCTACGACCCCAGTGCTGGCAGCAGCAGTCGTCAGACGTGTAACTAGTTAACAAGTCTATCGTGCTTAGCATGTGCCTGGAACCGTGCTTTCCCCTGCTTTCACTTATCCCTTACAGAAACCCTGTGGAGGAGATGCTATTACATCGATGAGGAAACCATGGTACAGAGACGCGAAATAAGTCTCTGTGCTGCGGTAGCAAAGAGCCACAAAGTGGGTAGCTTAAACCACTGGAAACTTATTCTCCCACAGCATGGAAGCTGTGTGTTGGCTACCTACTTGAAATTGGGCTGCCCTCAGGGCCATGCTGTTTCCAAAGGCTCTAAACAAGGAACTCCTCTGTCTGTTCTAGTTTCTGATGGCTGTGAGCCCTCACTCGGCGTTCCTGGACTTGTAGATGCATCATTCCATCTCTGCCTTTGTGTTCATATGGTCTCCTCCCCTTCGTCCCTGCATCCAAACTGCCTGTCTATTATAAGGACACTGTCATTGTAGAAGAGCCGCGCTTAATCCAACGTGACATGTAGCTTAATTACATCTGAAAACACATTATTTCCAAATAAACTCACATTTATACATTTTAGAGTTTGGACTTCAACACATTTGGGGCACACAATTCAACCCATAACAGTCATCCACACATGATTAATGTATGGATTGTAATGCTAGCCTAGTAGGCTACTGAGTCTATAACTAGTGAAAGGATTAGAAACTTGGGGGCTTTCCTTGATGAACTGACTTCTTTAGAACTATTGACAGATTTCAGAGATCCTAGAATTTAAGTTGGACCTGACTAAAGCCCACATGGAAGAAGCACACCAGACTGTGGTCGTGAGATGGGATCAGGGATCAGGCATCAGAAGACCCCAAACCAACAAATATATCGATGTGAATGAGGAGGGTCAGAGTGGAGATCCAAGGCCCATCTGTAGACAGTTGGCGATTCCCTCACAGAAGGGTCATAAGAAAGGAATGAGCAAGCCAGGGTGCAGCATAGCACTGACTAAACATACTTTCCTCTAGTTCTCTAATACTTCTACCACCCACCCCCACCACTATCATGACCCCAGTTGTACCTTACATATCTGGCTAGGCCAGAGCATGTACAGATAAGAGCTCTGGACACACGGAATCCAGGACAGAGAACCTCCTCAGGAACAGTAATGGGAGTAGTGATACCATGAGGTTAGGGGGAGTGTGGGGGGAGAAGGGAGAGAAACAGGGAACTATGATATATGTATTTCCCCCTACCCCCTACCCCACCCCCAGGGGGACAAACAACAGAAACGTGGGAGGAGATAGCTGACTATGTAAGATTTGAAACTAATTTATAATTTATCATGGGTGAGAGAGTGGGGAGGGAGGGAAAAAGAGGAGCTAACACTAAGCGCTCAAGTAGAAGGAAATGTTCTGAAAATGATGATGACAACATATGTACAAATGTGCTTGATACAATTGATGTATGGATTGTTATTAGAGCTGTAAGAGCCCCCAGTACAATGATTTATTTTTTTAAAAGTTGGACCTGACTAATAGGAGATAAAATCTTCTAGTTTGCTTGTCTGTATTCTTCAAGAAGGTTGCAATCATGCCCCTTTTGACCCTTATTTCCTGACTAGATTAGGGTCCTATCATGAAATAGAGGGTCCTATGGTGTAGTGGATTATGAATTTGGCTGTTAACCACAAGGTTAGCAGTTCAAAACCACCAGCCACTCGAGGGAGAAAAGTGAGGCTTTCTCCTCCTGTAATGAGTCTCAGAAAACCATGGGGGCAGTTCTACCCCTCTACTACAGGCTCCCTATGAGTTGGAATTGACTCAGTGGCAGTGAATAATGAGTGAGTGGATCTACTTCATTGTTTGACCCAATTGAATCAATTTTCTTTCAGAGTCTAAGGAATTCCGGTCTCCCAGGTGGGATAATTGACTTCAGTGCCAAAGACATTTGGACATTTCGGGTGCAAGAGAGTCAGGGCACACAGATGAAGAGTGATCTGGCATTGGCATGTGGCCTGTGGATGACCCACTGTTGACGAGGGCTAGAATGGAGGACCTGGCACGTTTAGAAAGATGGCCCAGGGCAAGGATGAGCGAGGGGGTTGTGAATGGTTGCGTTCTTTTCCAGAACTCCATCAGCTGGAGTGCTCACGCTTGAATTTCTTTCCCAAGTTTTTATGTTCTAGAACTAGCTTTGTGTGACTCAGCTATTTACCAATTTTGGTTTCATTTTGTCTCTTCCTCCCCCTCCCTCTCCTTCCGTGCTTCCCTTCCACTCCGACTTTTCCCTCTCCTGGTAGCCTTCACATGGTGACAAGACTTCTAATCCCGAAGTCCTGAAGTGGATGAATGAGTTGGCTAAAGTTCGTAAGCAGCTCAAAGGTAAATGTCAACTAAGGGTATCTTTTTCCAAAAAGAAAGCAGTGAACACAGTATCCGTGTGCTCCAGGACAGTTGATTCAGCCCCACCTAGGGCCTCTTGAGCCTTGTTCCCTACCTAGCTTGAGGTCTGATCTTAAAATAAAGGGTCCTGGCTGTCCTTCAAGGAGCCCAGGTAGTGCTGTGGCTGCTAACCCGAAAGTCAATGGTTTTGAACCCACCAGCCATGTCAGGGGAGAAAGATGTAGCTGTCTGCTTCCATATTTACAGTCTTGGAAAACCCGGTAAGACGGTAGTGGCTTACTGGTTAGATTGCTTTAATCTTCTCAGAGGGAAAGGCAGGTGATTCACTTTAATGCCAGGCACATTTCAACAGGTGAACAATATCTTCCCAGATTATTGAATCAGTGGATATTAGAAACAGAAGAACCCTGAGAAAATATGTAGTCCAATCCTCCTTGCACAAATGAGATGAGATACACAGAGAAAGATGACGTGGCTGCACAGCTCAGTTCTGCCTCTGAACCCAGGGTCCTTCCCTCTGTGCCCCACTCTGGAGATGCCAGCACAAAGAGTAATCAGCTCAAAAATGCATTGTTAAAAGACTATCATCGTTATAGACAAAATTTTACGGTCTCCTGTGTTTCTTCTTATTTCAACATTTAAGAGACATGGAGTTTTTCCAGTAGGTATATGCAAGGAATTCTGGTGGCAATGAGGGTTATGTGTTGGGATTTTAACGACAAGGTCAGTAGTTCAAACCCATTGTCTGAGAAAGATGAGGCTTTCTGCTCCTGTGAAGATTTACAGCCTCAAAACTCAAAGGGCGAGTTCTGTTCTGTTCTAAAGGGTCACGATGAGTCAAAATTGACTTGATGTCAGGTAAGTTTTTTGGTTTGCTTTTAGGCTTATCAATATAGCATTTAAACACGAAGCCAAAACCTACCAACAAAACATATAAACACCAAACAAACAAAATGGCCCATGTGGGTGAGAAACCAATATTAGTTACTTAATTCAAATGAATAGTCTCCTAGCATATTCAAATATATAATTTCCTGATAAATCCCAGGTGGCTTATTCATTTTCAATTACCTGTACTTATATAAGGAGCCCTGATGGGGCTGTCAAGGAAGAGGTGGACTGCTAACCACAAAGTCAGCAATTCAAACCCCCAGCCCCACCCCTAGGCTCTTTGAGGGGAAGGTGAGGGCATCTGTTCCCGTAAAGATTTACAGCCTTGGAAACCTCAGACTACTTAATGGCAACGGTTTTCTTTTGTGTGTGTGTGTGTGTTCTGTAATTCTTATATGATGAGCCCTTTTGGCATAACAGTATAGTGGCCGGCCGCTTATCAACAAGCCAGTTCAAACCCAGTCAGTTGACAGGAGAAGAGAGCTGGGGAGCGGCTTCTGCAAGGAGTTCTTCCCCTGAGCCCCAGGAGACAGTTCACTCCGTCTGAGGGCCACTGTGATGCTGTCCTATGGGCTCAGAATCAATTAGATGACAACAACAACGTACAGATATAAAGCACGGTTGCAATAATGGTGATTCCTGGTTTTTAAGAGCTGCCATTACAGTAAATTGGGAAATTTGTCAAATTAGGGTCAGCACTCCCTTTCTCTATCCCTTCTGTATCTTCTGAGGTGTCTTCTACTTGATCCCACAACTTTTAAAATAAGGAAATAATTCCTTGATCGTAGAATTTCAGGTGTCACTGTCCTGTAAGTGCAGGACCTCCAACCACAAGGTTGGTAGTTCAAACCCATCAGCTGCTCCTCCGGCAAAAAGATGTTTATCTGCATCCATAATGTTTCCAGCCCCAGAAAGCCTGTATAAGGTCACTGCTGAGTCCGACTCATCTCAATGGCAGTGGGATGGTAGGTTCGGGACAATACAGGTAGGTGAACATTTGGAGGCCAGTGTCAAGGGTCCTCCTCCAGCACATACTCTCCTCTGCAGTCTGGACCCCTCAGTATTTCCACGTGATCCTCTAGCTTCATGAGGTCTCAGTTTCAGAGCCTCTATGTTTACAACTGATTGGGAGCTGATGCCATTTGCCCCTGTGGCCAAAGACGTCCTTCCTCCATGAATGCTACCATTGGCACTGTTCAGTTTCAACCTCCGGAGATCAGGAAAGGGAATTCCTGAAGGGCTCTCTGTTCTTATCGAGTGGGTTGTCCTTGTCCATGCTAACTGATGGCATTTCTCTCAGAACTCAAACTGAAGCTGTCAGAGGAACAAGGGAGTGCTCCCAAAGGCCCCCGTAGAAACCTGTCCTGTGAGCATCCCACAGGCCCCAAGGAGAACGCGAAACCAGAAGCTGCAGGTCCTGAGCCAAGCTCCTCTGGAGAAGAGCCCCCAGATGCTGGGCTGAAATGCTTGAAGGAGAAGAGAGAGCAACTTCCGCTCCAGGAGGACGCTAAGGTACCTCATTATTTTCCTAGGGCTGCTGTACTCCGCATGTGATAATGAAATCATGGCTTTGACCAATTTATCTGAGTACCACCTGAACACTTTTAGGAGCTTGTTCCTGAAATTAAAGTGAGATGAATTCCTAGTAGGATCCTGGGTGGCACACATAGTTTGCAATTAGTTACTAATCAAAAGGGTGGTGGTTTGAGCTCACTCAATGACACAGTGCGGAAGAAAGCCCCAGTGATCCCATTCCACACAAATTATAGCCAAGGAAACCCTATAGTCTACTCTGACACCCATAGGGTTGACTGAGTCAGAATCAATGACAGCAGGCTTGTTTAATTATTTACTTGTTTTATGAGTTCCTGATGAGCTATATATAGACCCTGATTCCAGACCTGTATTTTGGAAGTGATTTGCTGGCTTATATTGATTGGAAGCAAATAGCCAACAACAGTAGAGTATGCCATAACCCTCCTTCCCCCACGAAAACAAACATGTACATCCAAGACTAGAAAACAATTTTCTAAACGGAAAGCAGTCATGTGACTCTCTCATCCCCATGTTTTATATGGAAAAAATGAGAAAGCCGGGGAAGGGTTTACACAGTGAGGAAAGTGCTGTATCTTCAGGATACAGAGTTTCTTGTGGTGAGTCCAGTTGGAACTCAAGATGCGTGCTTTAGATAGCTTAGTTTTGAAATCTCTGTGAGATATCTAAGTAGAGGTCTCCATTAGCATTTGGATATATGAATCTGGAACTTTAAAAAAAGATTTTATTTTACAGAGGAGCCAGTAGCCTCCTCACCTTGCATATCTGTGCTTACATTTCACTTAGTCCCAGAAGCTCGACTATGGCCCTCCTGTTCCGGCTCTCAGGCTGGAGATTTGAAGTTTTTCTTGTTTTTTCTTGAGTAAGAGTTATAGCTACCCTATTATAGCTCTTCATTTGCGCCTTACCATTTTTCATCTTGCACACTACACTTTCAACTTGCCTGTAGTACCTATCCTTCATAGGGATTCAATAAACGCTTGCTGAGTGAATTAATGGGTGGACAGTTGAAGGAAGGGAAAGCATCCGTAACTGTGGAAGGGGCTCTTCCTAAGAAGGATGCTTCTTCTACCTGTTGTAGTAAACATTTGGCCTCAATCATAAGTTATCAACATATACCAAACCCTAAAATGTCCCCCATTTATTTCTGGACTAATCCTTTACATTGGGCATTATGAAATACAAGTAGAAATGGGCCCCTGGCCACCTCTGCATTCCTGAAATCCCTTTAGATTAAAGATCTCCCAATATATGTTGGCTTTCCCTCCACCCAAATTAATGTGTCTATTATACAGATAGCTTTTTATTATTTAGAAAAAATAGATATTTAGAAAAAATCTATTCTTTGCTTCAACAAATTCACAATAAAAGGTTTTTTTTTCCCCTTTCTTTAAAGTCTACTCTTTCCATGAAAGCATTGCTTTTTAAAATTACTAACATTGCTAGTAATCTCAAGTTTACCTAGTTTGGGAACTCAGCTAACAGTAAGCATGCTTGACTGTGTGCTGGGAACATTTATATATGACAACTTATTAAGAGTGATCATCATTGTGCCCATTAGAAAGTTAGGGTTCAGAGACTATATAATTTCTGCATTCAAAACAGCTTACAAGTTTTGAAGGCCATTATCTAAACTCAGGCCCTTGGGCTTCAAGTTCATGCTAATATTACTGAACTGCCAGCTTTATAAATTCCCTTTGTGTGCTTATCTTCATTACTGACTTTACACATTATTAGTTCGGTCAAATGGTCACACTTGTTCTGATTATTGTGGGAACAGAGGCATAGAAATAGGTTGGCATCACTTAAACTTTAGAGAGAAGGGAATTTACTTCTCTCCTGGACAGAGGAGTCGCAGGGGAGGTGAGTGAAGAGGCCTCTCCTGATGAATCCCAAGGGTTCGCTGCCAGGAGAGCATCCGTGGGGCCAGTGGCAGGGGAGGAGGAAAACAAGTGCTGTGTTTGGGAAAACCAGGACACTGATGATGTGTTTGGACACCCCAAAAATGATGATGGGGGTTCCCAAAAGGAAAAAACCCAGGATAGCCATTCTTCAATCTAACTTCCTTTCCTGGCAATCTTTTTAAAGGAATATTTATTAGAATCTATTAAAAAAAAAAACAACCAAATTGCAAACCTGTGTTTTGGGGTGCTATTGAGTGGATTAGAACTCAGGCGACCCCAGCAGCAGTGTAGAACAGTTCACAAGCTTTTCTTGGCTGTAAACTTTATGCAATCAGCTCTACCCTTTTTAGTCCCGTAGAACTTTCAGGTGGGTTTGAGGTGTCAACCTTTCAGTTAGTAGCTGCGCTACCAGGACTCAATAGAGAGATGCCAATAATACATCCATGTACCATTTTCTGAAGTGCTTTCTATGAGTTATAAATCCCAATAAAATGGTGCATTCCAGCGATGTCATGGACGGCAGTGGGGTGGGGCGGGAAAGGACAGGGAGTGCAGACTAAACCAAGTGCCACTGTCAGAAAGGGTGACCCCAAAATGACTGTTATGTTTGTGTGGTGTTTCAGCAGAAGTTTATTTATTTTTATATAAATTTATCCCAAGTTTGTTATAACAAGAATATTGGTCACACCTACAAGGCTAAAGCACCAAGTTACTTTACTTTTTGAAACTTGAATGTGCTTTGGTTGGAACTGCCATTATTACCCAATGGCAACAGTGTTTCCAAATGTGTGCTCTTGTCTGTGCCTGTTGTTAGTTTCATTGCTGCCAGTGTCTTTATTGTCATTGAGTTTTGTTGCATTTTCTGGTGTTTTTAGCTACAATATTGTGGTAAGTAGTATTTGTGAACCTTTATCAAAATTATTTTTTTTTTGTAAAATGAAGTAGTAATTAAAGGAAAAGAAAGAGAAAAAAATTAAAAAGGCTCTGTTCAGCTACTAATAATGTAACTTATAATTTTGTAACTCAATATAGAATTTACAAAAATGTTACTCATATAATCTAAGAAATATTACCTTTAAGTAATTTCCAACTGCATTACCCAGATATTATTCTATGCCTAAAGTTGACATTAATTAGCCAAAATTCTGTTTAGTCTGGTATGGGAGGATATCCTTGGGTAGGAGAATTACCATACAAAGTGATCCCAATCCTACTGACACCATTTTAGTATTTCAATGTCTTCTGAACGGGTTAGATTACAATCTTTTTCTCTGTCATATGTTAACATGCCTGGGAATATATTTTGATGAATTATTTTTCCATGGAACAATGTGTCATGACTAAGCAAATATCATAAAAATGGTTTGGCAAGACAATTAAGAACTCATGAAGTCGATACTTATAAGGCTTCTACAGAAAGTGTTGTTTATACTCAAACTAAAGAGACCAGGAAGACTTAAATTGTCATTTGGGTCACTTATATGAAGGCTGTAAAATGGAGTTTGGGTTTTGTTTTGTTTTTTTCATAAAGAGCTAATAGATGAGTAATGGAAATGGAACTTTGAGTTGGGGCTTATGAGAATTTAAAGAAACATATGATGTGATGTGTTCTGAAAAATTCTATTTGGGCCCAGAAGATTGAGATATATAAAAAAGTTAAGGCTCAGAAAAAGAGAGGAAAGTTCAAGGAAAAGGGATATCAATAGGGACCAGCAATGTTTTCAGGGTCGTGTGACAATAACTGGAAACCCTAAAATAGATATATGCTTGAGCCATTTTGTTCTCCCTTACAGTTCTCTTCAGGGGAATCCAGAAAGCAGAACTGGATAGTATTTGGGGACATGTGTACTTTGCTAAAAGATGCCTGGGTGGTTCTACAATGATGGTCACTGGGGTAGAACATTGTTCTACTATTACTCTACCCTTTTCAGAGAGAAAAAAATTACTTTACCGCCCCCCCTCCGCCCCCCCCCCGGCAATTAAAAACGTTTGAACTGTAATCCATAATCCAGGATAAAGGGAAGGTATCTGCTTTTGCAGTACCCCCTGAATCATTCCAGTGTCCCCCACCGGGCAGGACTGACCACTTAGGAAACACTGGTGTGGAGGCTATGTACAGTACATACATTGCAGATCCATGCACGGTACACAATGGGAGAAAAACAACACTTAAGTCAAGCAGGGTAGTCTGGTTACTTTGGATAGACAATGATAAATTAAGCAAGTATTTACATTGTATGCATGGCATGGCCTAGTGAAAATTATTGCTTAAGGAGGGTCTTACAATAGAGGGTCATTGAATGGTCAGTGGACCTAGAGGCTATAGAATTTTTTACTTGGAAGAAACCTTATAACTCTAACCTCCTTGTATAGGTAGGAAATTAAAGCTTCAAAGAAGTTAACTGATGTGTCCAAGATTACTATCTTAGGCCGGTTTCTCTAGAGGAGCAAACCCAGTGAGATAGATAGATAGATAGATGGATGGATGGATGGATGGATGATCGATAGTGATTTATTTCAAGGAAATGGCTCACACAGTGTGGAAGCTCACTGGTCCCATATCCATGAGTCAGGAGTCAGGCTGGAGGCTTCTCCTGACTCGTGGCTCCAGGGACTGATATATCCAAATCAGCAGATCTGGCAGAAGGCTGCTGGCTCATGGGGATGCAAAGCTGGTGAATCCCAAAATCTGCAGGTCAAGATGCATACTGCTGGCTCACGCCCTAAAAACCAGAGGTCAGATGACATGTAGCATGTAGAATCAAGAAAGGGCAAGCTTTGCTGGAACATCCATTTGTACTGGATGCAGTACACACACACACACACACTCACACACACACACCCTAACTCTTCCTTTTTAGCAACTGATTGGCTGCTCACATTATACCACAAAATGAAGGATAACATCTGACAACCCCTAAGAATCATGTCTTAGTCAAGTTGATACACAGACCTAGTCATCACAACTACCTAGCTAGTTTAATGTCACAGCAAGCTAGCAAATCGGCTTATAATCCAAATATCCAATGATGAGACCTGGACAAGGTTGGTCCAGGTCAAAAAGATATTTCAGAAGAAAAATGGCCGTCTTCACCTACTGGTTTTGGGTTTTTAGGGTTTTTTTTTTGCAAATGGAAGATGTAATGACAGAGGGGTCTCCTCACTATTGAGCAGGGCTTAGAACTGGTTCATTCTGGTTCGGCTCCCTGGTGAGAATTTGCCTTTCCACCCCAGATACACTGAACCAGAGTCTGCAGTTTAACAAAATCCCTAGTTGAGGCTTAGGTTTACATCCTGATGTACAAAGGAAGTAGTTCAAAGCCTTGCTACTTAGGCATGAAGACTCCAAGCCCCCTGCCATCGAGTGAATTACGACTCATAGTAGCCCTTTAAGAAGGAATAGAGCTACTCCATAGGTTGTTCAAGACGTCTTTCTCCCTCAGTGTGGGGGGCTTGCAGGTTTAAATGGATGGTGATATTTCCCTTAGCAGAGTGCTTTAATGATTGTGCCATCAGGATCCTTGATGATGCCTCCAGAAAGCTTTAAAACTATCTTTCTACACTTGGACCTCATCTTCATGAAACTTTTCCTAAAAGACAATTGGGAATTCCTTTATAGTTAGTTATGCATTGGGCTGCTAACCTCAGGTTTAGCAGTTCAAACTCATCAGTCGCTCTGAGGGAGAAAGATGAGGCTTTCTGTTCCTGTAAACAAACCCTAGGGAGCGGTTCTGTCGGGTCACTATGAGTCATAATTCAATGGCAGTGGGTTTGGGGTTTGTTTGGGCTATATAATACTTTGTACACTATTTTCCTTTTGCTAAGTACTGTGATAATAGTCTATTTTTAACTCTAAGTTTAAATTTAAATTCTATATTATATTTTAATAATAAATGGCTTCAAGCCACTTATTTATTTTTGCCCACTAAAAACAATTATGTCTTTAGATATTTGCCTGAGAGAGGAAAAATAATTAATTTCATGTTTTTCAGGTAACTAAGCAAGACAAGAACCTCATAAAGCCTCTTTACGACCGATACAGAATTATCAAGCAAATCTTATCAACACCTTCCCTTATCCCAACAATTGTAAGTCAGGATGCTTGCATTAACTAGAAACCTGTGCTGGTGCTGGTATTGATGTTTAGTTAGGGAGGCGGCACTGTGAGAGTCACAAAGGCACACTATACTCTGCTAATATGGCCAGTTATTTCAAAACATAGGAAGTGGCTTCTCTCGGCCCTAATACTATCCTTCAGCGTAGCTGGTAATTAGAACCACTTGTACTTACACAACACAATTAGGACTGGCTCATATTTAATGTCCCTTTTAACAGTTGCTTCCATTCACTTGAGTGAGAAGACATCATTTATCTCAGTTTGGCTTTGTCTAATGCTAGCCCAGGTAAAGCCTTCCTCTTCTTTGTATGTTGGTTAATTCTGCCCCTTTAATAGGAAAAGGGACAGAATGTTCCTTGATATAATGTGGTGTTTGTGTTAGGTGCCATTTGACCCTCACTATACAAAAAGGAGTAGACCCTTTTTCAGAAGCATATAGACGTGCAGAGATAAAGAATGATTTATGGAAATTCAGAACTCAAAAAGCTCCATATATCCTACTCCCAAAATATCAAAACATTTGCTTGAGTTACCAATATAAAAAAGAATAAATGACAAATATCAATTTATTTTAAATTTATTTTAGACTTACATATTTTTAAAGACATAAAGCATAATGATTTATAGTCTTTAAATTTTCTCCTGTTTAAAATGGGGTATATTTTCCAATATTCCGTCAAGAGAATCTTTTGGTTATGGTAAGGAGTATCAGAACATCTAAAGGACCAAGTCTGCTTTGCTTTTGTCTTCAGAGCTCATTCATGTCTGTGTCAATTTGCTAAGTGCCCACTGTGCTTGAATGTGACAAAGTCTGTCTGTCGTCCATTTCTTCTACCTTCTATCACTGGTGTGAAGGTAGGGCCCAGGGAGGAATCACTTGGCAATGCAGTTCAGAAACGGCCCAGACCCTCACCGGGTATGGCTTCTTTGACGCAGTAAACACAGACAAACTTGATGTGCATTTCAGCCTGGCATGGTTACCTCTCTGCGCATCAACTTCTGCAAGGTTTTTCATGCAACCTACAGTTCATCTTGGTTGCTTTCTTCCTGGACCTTGGTAGGCACAGGGGATCATCTAGTGATTTTCATGATGTCCGCTTATGGCTCCCCTTCCTGGTTTTGCTCCTAAAGTGGCCCTTATCATCTTGTGACCTTACTTAACTCTGTGTGTGATAACCAGGAAGAAGAGGACTCTGATGAAGACTACCCACAGGGAAGCCAACAATCTTCTTTGGGAGATCCAGTGTCTCACATCCCCGTTGGTGACTCCCTTGCCTATTCCAAGGAGATTGAACCTGGTAGGGCCCTGCTACCAGATGAAAAGAAAGAAGTCAAACCATCAGCCCTCTCCATGTCCAATTTACATGAGGCCACCATGTAAGTGTGAATCCTAAATCTGGCATTGCCTTTGAACTCCTAGACTAGGATATGTTATAGGTGAATATGAAGCTTAAAAGTGCTATTCACTCACTGCCATCGAATCAATTCTAACTCGTGTTACTATATAACACAGGGTAGAACTGCCTCTGCGGGTTTCAAAGGTTGTAACTCTTTAAAGCCTCCTCTGTCTCCCTGTGGAGCAGCTTGTGGTTTTGAACTGGTCACTTAATGCATTATGCCCAATGCATAACCACTCCACCACCACGGCTCCTCAGCTTTCACCTGTGCTGTTAGGCTCTCTAAGGAATGCTAGCCCCCCAAAAGTAGTCTTAAAAAATAATCTGTGGGGACATGGAGGCTGAGCATGATAGTGGGACAAGAGGAAAATAAAAAGGAAATTTAGGAAAGAACTAGGAGGTAAAGGGCATTTATAGAGGTCTAAATATAGGCATGTGCATATGTAAATTTATTTATATATGAGGATGTGGAAATAGATCTATGTGCCTATATGTTTGGATTAGTATTAAGGTAGGAACTGGACATTGGGCTCAAGTACTCCCTCAATGCAAGAATACTTACTTCTATTAAAGAATACTTCTATTAAATTGGCATTCTATGTTGTGTATCACCAGACAATGGTAATTATGTCTTCAAAATGCCTATGACTCCTTCATCTACTCATATTGCCATCAGCTGCACTACATCTTACAATGATCTGAAACAAATCTTCTTGCCTGCTGTTTTGGCTTCTTGTCTACCCCACTGCTTTCATTGTTTTTGTGCTCCCCTGTGATGGGCCTCTACATGGGCCATAGAGATTCAAAAGACGCTCTTTAGGGAGAGTGTTCGATCATAATAAGCTCTTGTTTACCTGATAATCTGCACATGATGATTCCAAACTTATGGCCCATATATTTCACCTTTTATAGGCCTGTACTCCTTGACCATCTTCGAGAGACTAGGGCTGATAAGAAGAGACTTCGGAAAGCCTTACGAGAATTTGAAGAACAGTTTTTTAAACAAACAGGAAGGTACGTTGAAAAAAGTTCTTTTTCAAGTTAGTATTTGATGAACTATAACTTATGAACGAGCTGCTGTTTCTTTTTCAGGAGCAGGGAATTTATACAAGAGTTTAACAATACTCTACCTCCTCCCAAGCATTTGTGCAATACGACACTGTGTAGCGCCATTAAAAATGCTTCATGGGAGGAAGTAGCTGTAGCTGTTGCGTGTGATGGTAGTGTTCAAAAACTAAAGGACATACATCAGACACCTTAACTTTGCATAATAAATCTCATGATAAGTGTTGAATTCATCTAAACTGTCTTCAAAACTGAGAAAGCCATATCACATCTTGGTCCTCGATTACATAATTCTCCTATTTTATTCAGTAGCTCTTCTTTGGCTTTAAATGTCTCTTTTAAACATCAGAATCTGTCTCAATTCTTTTATATCGTAAAGTGGTTAAAAGCTCATATGTACCCTTTCTAAATGAGTATTTAGCTTTATCCTCTGTGTTTATGTGTCCACCCAAGTTTCAACATGCATTCCACTAGTTTCCACTAATTTTTGGTATGTATGTCATTAATGGTGAGACATTTAGCCAGCCTGAGCCTCGATTTCTTCTGTTGTAAAAGAAATGATTGGGCTTCATGAGATGATTTGTAGAAGACATGTTGTCAGGAGAGACTGGTCGCTGGAGAAGGACCTCATGCTTGGTAAAGCAGAGGGGCAGTCAAAAAAAATAAGGCTCTCAACCAATGGATTGGCACAGTGGCTCAAACGTAAGCACAGCTACGAGGATGGTGCAGGCACAGGTAGTGTTTCATTCTGTTGCATACAGGGCAGCTGACTCAATGGCACGGCTATCACATGTGGTAGCAGTCTATTAATAATAAGAATAAGGCTATAACTTTTCCAAAGTAAAGAGCTATTCAATGGCAAACTCCCTTTGAGTTTTAGAGCACAAGCACTGGGCCAGTACGCCACCGACTCGTATATCCCTTCCATCCAGGGACTTAGCTTCCATGGCTCGCTCTCATTTCAGCAACCCGAGCGTGGCCCTGAGGAGCGTGGACTATTTTCTAAAGGCATCTGACATCTTGATTTATTCACCTCTTAGTTCGGTTTTCATTTTAGAACTCCCAATTGGACCGATCAGGTCAAGAACTTTTTATGTCCAGCAAATACAGTTGTAATCAACCTAGTTTGATACCTGGAACCTTTTTTTGTAGTTGTTAAATTCACCTTACTTACCTGGTAGAGGAAATGGCCTGGTTTGAATGCTAGTTTTGTGATTTAGACCAAATAACTTCATCTGTTTCTCTAAAGGTAAAATATTATTACTGTGTAGGGTGGCTGTGAGCATTACACAACATAGCGCATTGTTTCCTGTGGAAATTACTATTCTGCTGGTAGCTAACTAATTAGTATGAAATGCTAGGTGGCTGCTTCGTTTAGATTATGAAGCATAAGTTCTTAGTTTTTTTTCCCATGTACTTTTCATTACTTTACTGCACTTTCATGCAACTTTCTCTGCAAAACATTCCTTGAAATAGTGAATTTGTCTGTGTGGACTGTCAGCTATACTCTGTTTGGATATATATTTGCTCACTTAAATGTTTCGGATCTCTGCTGCCTTTAGATTAAAGGTACTCTGTTGGGTTTTGCCATTCAGGCAAATGTGAAGAGATGGCATCACTATCCCCCATTTACCCAGTCACTGAAAATGAGAAATTAGTTAATCACTTTAATGTGTGCATGAATTCTTTTCATATCTGTGTTCCATGAAAAATATTAATTATTACCCATCTGAAGTCAGGAATCTCCCTTAAAGAATTTGACAACTTCCCAGAGTGTCAGTGAGTTTGTAGTGGTATTTGAAATCTTATGTTCTAGCTATAGTATTCTGCATCCGTAAATCCTAAATCTATTTGAAGTTGCCAAAGCCTTGGATGGTTAACTACAAGGTTAAAGGTTTAAACTTACCACCAGCTCCTCAGGAGAAAGATGAGGCTATCTGCTCCCTTAAAGATTTTCAGCCTCAGAAACGCTAGAGGCCCTATGAGTCTGGAGATCAATGGCCTTGTCCATGAAGTTGTGTGCCCTCTTGTGGTGACATACTTAACTAAATACAAATGTGGTGGTTCATTAAAACTAAGAGTTAAAATAGTTAGATATTAATCTTTATTGCTTTCCCAAGACATTTTTTACTGGGAAGGCTTAAACATCAATAATGCAAAATACCCATGCAAAAATGGATTTCTAGATATTTTAAGATTTAGATATTTGTAAGATTTTACCATGTCAGAGGCATGGTAATAAAAAAGATATGACATTATTATTAGCAATTACAAGCCAAGGTCTGTGCCCAGCACTTTGGCATGTTTTCTATAGTGGGACAGCTGCATCAGGAGTCAGGAAACTACTTTGTTCTGGCCACAGCACGCTTGATTTTTAGTCAAATGGGGTATGTAGGGTCAGAGAAAGTCATATTATAGATTGCTAGTCTTTCACTATAAATTAGACAATTTCTTCACTTATATCTACTTACACAAGTCAGAAGTCTTGTAGCTATTGTTTGCATATAGAAAACCTATCCCAGTGGTATAGTTCTATGGGAAGGCAAATGATTTTAACTCTAAATCCTATCTAAATTATTTTTCAAAGTAAACAGGAGTGCATGTAGTAGTTAGAATGCACATGTACAGAACAGTCACATGTCACATGTTGTCACATGTGGTCTTACCAGAATTAAAGTGCAGAAGAAAACACTGCATTTTGGACTCATTTAAATTGCCTCTGACATGGAGCTGCTCAGAGATTTTACTTCATGCTAACAGTGACAGGCATTATAGTTACAAGGAAAGTTGGAAGTGTTTCAGTCTTATAAGGTAGCAACTACACTCTTCTCTCCCTGCCACCATAAACTTGAAAATTTTATCTGTAACCGGATTTCTGTATTTTAGGTTGATGTTTTGAATAATTCTCACTATAATTAAGGCTGGTACTTTGCACGATGGTATACCTGTACACTGGACTACAGATACATTGGCACATCCTCTATGCCATGCACGTGAAGACGACATGGTGCTAAAACGAGAAGTCAATACCCTGTACTTTCTCATGTATATAAAAGGATCTGCTTTTATATACATGTATATTAAAGGATGACTTGATTTATTATGAACTAACAGATTATGTTCCACTTTGCAGAAGTCCACAAAAAGAAGACAGGATCCCAATGGCAGATGAGTACTATGAATATAAGCACATCAAAGCCAAACTGAGACTACTGGAAGTCCTCATCAGCAAGCAAGATGTGGCCAAAACTATTTGAGGTCAGGAAATGTTTGTGATCACATTCACCAAAAAAAAATTTTTTTTTAATCAAGTTTATTTTCTCCTGCCATGTAGTTTCACATACTAAAATTCAAAGCACTTTAGTGGTAGTACTACTTGTTTTTTAGGAAAGGATGGCAACTGTAATTATTTATGAGGAGAGGTATTTAAATGTGGGGAGAGGGGCAAACACAGTATAACTGGGGGGAGGGTGGGAGAAATCAAGCCTGTTCTGTGCCAAGAAGAATTGTAATTTAGAAAATTATTTGATAATTCATCCACTCATTTAGTGGGCTGCTTGTTAGGGAAAGGTCAGCGATGCTTACGTTGATGTGTGGAAAACCAAGAGGAGGAAGGAAAGCTCTGCCCGTGTTCAAGTAAAAAGGGCAACTTATTTGAATCTCTAATCGATTTTTAAGGACTATTTTAAAATCTACTTTGTTCCTTGAGTCTATTAGACTTTCGGTAACCCTAAAATATACTAGAATGTGTCATTGCTAATTTTTCTTTCTCTATAGAAAATAGCATATTATTTTACTTATTTGAAATTTTACATTTCTGATTACCAAAGTTCATTCTGATAGCATGTACTTTGTGAATTACTATCTTTGTCTATAATTGACAGATGTTTATATTAAAATATTGCATTAAAATTTGAAAACAAGTATTTTGGATAGTTATGTGTCTGTAGGATATAATCTAATGTGATGATTGCTAATCTTTTTGTTTATTATATCTAAGATGATAAAACTATTTTTCCATTGGGAATATGCATTTTTCTTAATGTTCTAAATCTATACTTTGTAAAGTCAAAAAAAACTTTCTCATGAGCATAGTTACCCTTGTTTCTGTACAAAAATTAAAGATTTGAAAACTGTTTGCCATGCATCTTAGAAAAGAATCCAGACTATTAATTCACTATCGTCTTGTTATTTTGTACTAAATCACTTGTTCATTGTCTTTTTGTAAAAACAAGTAAAAGATTAACATTTTCTCTCATGTAGCAACCACATACATATATATTTCTATTTTCTGTAATATTTGAGCATGATGCTGAAGAAATTCACATTTTCATATAGTTTGGATGGAAAGAATGTTGACAATGTCAGAGGCTTATTGTTTCTCTGCAATTACCTGACATTTTATAACTTTTATGAATCAGAGTAACGTCCTTCATCAATGTGTTTAATTAAAATCATCTACTTGTAACAGGATTGACACACACCTATTTGAGGTTTACAAACTAAATCTTTGATAAAGGAAATGGTTTCGTGATATGTATAGAATTGCTATTAAAATGTAACTCTATATATTCTATGATTGTAAATATTTTATACAACAATGCAAATAAAATATTTTTCTATTATATTTATTATGTTGAAACACAGTAGTTGTTTCCTGTTAGCTAATATAAATAACATAAATAACACTGTCAAACAACACGCTGGAAGTGCTGACAATTCTAGGCTTCAAGATTTAACTCATGCTGCAATTAACACCCTTTCATGCGGTTTGGAGTTATCCCAGTATTTGTTCAGTAGATTAAAATGAATGCATATTTAAACACCATTGATAAGCCATTATTTGATATTTTGCTAAAGCGGTCTAGAGAGATTTGTTTTGTTATGTTTGGCATAAGAAAAATCAAAACATTGCAGCATCTAGGCAATAAAGTGTCAGAAGGAGAACTCAGGGTACCTCATCACTGAAAGGACTAGACAGGATCGGGGCCGGAAACACTGAAAGGACTGGACGAAATGTGAACCGTGGCAGTCTGGTTTTGGTAATAGCGGCATGTGCATGCGTCAGTGGAAAACATCTGGTGGTGAATACGGACAACAGAGGACCAGTGCTCCTAAGGGAAGCCACGGCTAAGTAAGAAAGTGGGCGTTAACGTCCAACACTGATATTACAGGTTTTGCAGCTGGGGTCTTTCTTTGCATTTGCAGTAGACAAACTCATGAGCTGGTGACCAGTGATCTCTGCCACGGTGCCCAGAGGAAGATCCACAGGGTCAGTGTAAATGATTTCTAAAATGACATCTTGGGCATGGTGGAAAACCAGCACGCCGTCCTCTTCTGTGCAGGTCAAGAACTTATTATCCTTGGAATTTAGCTGAGGAAGGCGCTGCTTACAGAATTCATCTCCTGGTGATCCCACCGGAGCGATAACAAGAATCACATAATGATAAGCAGTGTACATACAGTAGAAGTCCCCAAAGTACAAGTTACTATTGGGGTTAAAAAGTTTTTCTGCTGCAATTTCAAACCTGTATCTTCCATAAGGCGAATCCTGGGGTGGCTTCCCTGTATTGAATTCAGTGCTGCAGCTGAAGAAGATGCCTTCTAATTTTCCACTAATTGGAGAACCATGACTACCACTGTTGTCCTTGACAGAGGGCTGCATAGCATTCCCGTGATGTTCTCTGCAAAAGAAATGAAAAGGAATTGCCATTGCTTGGTATAATTGAGGTAAAGCCACTATTTGGTATACATGCATAGTAATAGGCCCAGAAGTTAACTGTAAGGGTCTTGCATGCCCATCCTGCTATGAGATCAAAGAGAAAGCACTTTTTTAATAGCTTATTAGATGTCAAGCCTGGACCATAAGATAAGGTCTAAAGTCGTCTGCCACTCACATTGGAGGACTTCAACGTAATATCTGTCAGGAAAATTACACTAGAGTTAGAAATCTTATAATTGAAATCATATTTAGAAATGAACTTATTGAAGAGGAATGGACTAACAGAACTGGTTAAATATGTTCACTATTTTTGACTAACCAATTATCCAGGCCTAATTCTATGAATCCGGTTCTCTCTCCTGCATTATGCTGAAAACAGTATTGGTATTGTCATTTGCACTCACTCCCCTGATCCGTTCTCCACCCTTTTTTGCCTTTTGCGGCCTGGGGCTTTAATCACCCTGCACTTCTGACTGGCTCATCATCACTCCTTGGTTCTCAGCGGGTTCTGATGATGGAGGCACCAACAAGACATGTAAGGTAGGAAAAGCCTGGCCCCATGCCTTCCTCCTCCTGTGTCCTCAATTTTCAGAGCCCTGTCTTCATTTATAACTACACATATCCAATTCTTGCTCCTTCTTGGTGCCCCAATTCCCCTTTCCAAGAACTACAACTTTCATCTCTTAACAGTTGCTGGTTACTTTAACATCCCTTAATTGTTTCCTTAAATGTACCTAGACCTGTTAATAGTTTCTTTATTATATTCTCTCCAGAATTCCCATTGACTTTTTTTTTGTTTTTTAGCAAGACCCATGATTTCTTAGTCTATGATTTGGGATGATGAATACAAATTATCACTCAGGCAAGCAAAGGTTCCCAAAATTAACATTCTTCTTAGAGTTTGTGGGTCAGTGAGGTGTTTCCAGGTTTGGACTTTGAAATAGCAATAGACCTCATTTTCTAGTGTTGAGAACCACAAAGCTAGCTTATTAAAAATGTAGATTCCAGGAAAAGCCAACACACTGTCAAAACCAGAGAACCGGAAATGTGATGAATTCTTTTATCATTTTCAAAAACTTCCTTTAGCTGTTCTTTTAGGATCCGTTTGCTGGTGACAGATTCTTAGTCTCTTCTTTTCTGAGACTGTCTTTATTCCTCCTTCATTCTTGAAGGGTATTTTTACTGCCTTTAAGATTATGGGTTGACAGGTTTCTTTCAGCACTTGAAAAAATGTTGTGCTGTTTCCTTCTGGTTGCCATGGTTTCTGATGAAAAACCCTGTGATTTGAATTGTTTATCCCTTAGAGAGAAGGTGCTATTTCTCTTTTGCCACTTTGAAGATGTTTGTCTTTAGTGTTCCAGAGTTTAGGTTGTGTCTGAGTGTGAATTATTGTGGGTCTATACTAGTTGCTCAGATTCTTGGATCTGTGGTTTTGTTTCATCTTGCCAAATTAGGGACATTTTTAGTAACTATTTCTCGGAGTACTTTTTGAACATTTTCTCCCTTAATTCTGTATTCTGATGGCATTAATTTTAGATCCATAAGTTATAATTCCACAAGTTCATGAGGCTCTGCGAATCGTTGTCAATAGCTATTTATTATATTGGATTATTTCTATTGTGAGATCTTGAAATTTACTGAAGAAGGTTTGGTGGCACCATCTAAAGGTTGATCGTGTGAACCCACTAACCACCCCAGGAGAGGAAGCTGTGGCAGTCTGCTTCTACAGAGATTCCAGTGTTGGGAATCTTTGGGGAAATTTCTCCTCTGCCCGCTAGAATCACTAGGAGCTGTAATCAAATCAGTGAAATAAGTCAAACTTCAATGGTCCTTTCATCCTTTTCATTTTAATGAGTCCATCTATTAATTTCTTGAATTTGTCTTTCTATATTCCATTTTGAAATATCACATTTAATTCTTTACATTTTCTATTTCTTTGTTGATTGTCCTTTCATTTGTTTCCAGTGTGTTTGTAATTGCTTGTTGTGGTTAACTTTCCAAAGATTTGGCTCCGATGAATGGTGCCACATGTAAAACAGAATTAAGCATCGTCTGCTCCTACGCCATCTTCACAATTATTCATAGACTTGAGTCTATCGCTGTGGTCTTGGTCTATTTTGAAGGGCGAGTCTTGTAGCACTCTATCAATATTCGACTGAGATCCATAGGGCTGTCACTGGGCAGTTTTCAGAAGTTGATTAATAGGTCTTTCTTCCTAGTCCTGAAACCTCTGCCGACCATGGTTGACCTTGCTGGTATTTTAATCGGTGGCATGGCTTCCAGCATCATAGTACCACGGAAGCTACCATAGGTGTATCAAACTGGAAGAAAGCTAGTGGTGTCGCTGCTTGCTGAAGCAGTTTTAAGATGGTTGTTTGAAAATTCGAGTTTGATTTATAGCCACACTTCATTAAATGCATCTGATCTCAGGATGTCTTTGTTCAGTAATCCCAGGAGCTGTCATTTTGGTGCTGGTGGTGTACGATAATCCTTTATCATTCAGTTTCCTGGTTCCTAGTATGATTTATTTTTTTCCTAGTATGATTCTTAAGAGATTCTGTGTTACTTAAAGCTGCAGTTTAACCACCCATCTTCTGACTAAGTACAGGGAGCACAAAATTGAGGGGTGCAGGGTAGGGTGCCACACCATCATTGTCAGGTGAAGGACAAAAGTTCATGTTCCCCACTTGAGCTCCATTAACAAGTAGGAGGAACTTACTCGTGAGTGAAGGTGAGAGGGAGCTCCAATAACATTCAGGCTGGAAAGGGAATGAACAACTTATTTATGGTCCCGGGTGGCCTTCACTGGCATTATGAGGACGGATTTCTGCTAGCCTTTTACCAAAAGTCTCAGCTTCCACTGGTCCTCCCCTCTTGGGGGGAAGGAGTGGTCTCTTGTCATCAGGTATGTAGTGCAAGTGCAAGATCCCCATTTGATCTTCTCTGACACACCCCTACAGGGAGATGTCGATGGAAAGCAAAACGTCTAAGTCCCCTAGTTGGCCTGGGCTAGTTGGAGTAGGAATACCAAATAAACAAATTCACTGTCATCTGGGCAAGTCCAACTCATAGTAACTCTATCTCAAAAACAAACAAACAAACAACAAAACTCACTGTCATAGAGTTAATGCTGATCCACAGTAACCTTATAGGACAGGGTAAAACTGCCCTTGGGGGTTTCTGAGGCAGTAACTTTAAGGGAGTAGAAAACCTAATTTTGTTGCTGTAAAACTGCTGGTGGTTTCAAACATCTGACCTTGTGGTTAGCAGTCCAACATGCAATCAACTATGCTACCAGGGCTCTGTGGGGAGGAGGATGGAGGTGAGAATGGAGGTGAGGCTGGACTGCCACTTTTCCTCCTGTGGTGTTTAACTGAAGAAGGGCTATTGTCTGTCTAAAAGGCTTCTATCATTTAGGGCTGCTCCCATTCCAATCTGTAGTGTAGAAAGAGCAAACTTTGTGGATTTTAGAAAAGGAGTCTCAAAATGGTGTCCACGTAAAATCAGCTCCCTGGTACTCCTGTTGTTAGATTGGAAAACTAAGAAGGAGGCCAATATTGGAAGGCTGGGTGCTAGAAATGGAATTCCAGTGTACCAGGGTTTGTGTTTCAGGTCTCTTCTTACGATTTTCTTCCATGGAGCAATTTGGGGGCTTGCTGTGATGCTTGCTAAGTTCACTGCATATGCCCGTCAGCTCTTGGCATCCCTCACCAGTGCCAGTGGGATGTTGTCTACCGTATTACTTCCAGTGCCTGAGTTCCAAGACCCGCCAGCATGCAGTAATTTCCCCAGACTGCTGTCTAAGCGTGGTCATAATCCCAGGCCCATGGAGAGCTACTGAAAACTAGCCAAAAAAGCTACTCTGGCACTCCCCTCATTCATTCATAGGCTTAGACCCGCCCCTC